ACCTGGGCACCATGTAAGGAGTAACATTTGCCTAGTCTTGTCCTGCCATGGCATCAGCCCCAATAAACACCACAGAGACTCTGTATTCTGATACAATGCTATTTGGCCTGGTCTAGCTTCTTATCTGCTAGCTCTGTCTTAAATATTAACCCATTTCTGCTGATATATGTATTTTCACGTGATCTTTCATTACTGAGGAGCCAGCTGGCATTCTGCTCTCTCCAGTCTCTCCATCTTGATTCTCCTTCCTATTTCCTTTCCTCCTTGTCTCCTAGTCCCTCCCTCCTTTTCTATTGGCCAACAGTGCTTTATTCATTAACCAGTAGGAGAAACATATACAGGCATCTCCCATCACCTCCCCTTGATAAAGACCAAGCAATGCGATTCAGTATAAGGAAAGATTAGTCTCAGGTTCTTGGTCATCCAAACAGTAATAGATGAGTTCCAATTTATGGAGGTGGGTCTTACATCAAATCTGTCATTGCTTGAATACTCCCACAAGCTTTGTGCTATCATTTTCCTACATATCATGAAGGCGCAGCTCTTTTTAGATAAACATCTTGTCACTGGCTTAGTGTTTACATTTCTTCTTTGGTGCATGTATGTGGTGCCTTCCTGCACCAAAGACCCTGGAACATAGGAGTGAAGGTTCTATAGAGGCACCATCTTGATATCTTTGTTTCAATTGTCTCCAGCTTGACCACTAGGCCCTGTTGTCAGTGTTTGGAGAGCAAGCTGCAGCCGGGGTAGTTTGTGATTTCTGTGGGTCCTTTTTCATTAGCTCGATTACAACTAATACTATTATGGTACTGGAAGCTGCATTTGGTGACAAAGACATAAACATTATTGTAATTTCAACTAGATTGCTTTTCGTGTGTGTGTGTGTGTGTGTGTGTGTGTGTGTGTGTGTGTGTGTGTGTAAATTAGCTTTCTATATTGTCCCCTTAATGGTTCTTATTGTTAACTGTCTTTCTCCATATCCATTCCCTTCCCCCTTCCTTTGCCACCCCCTTGATCCTCCATTTAAATTCCCACCCCGCCCAGAATCATCCATCCATAACTATCTATTCTATTCCACTTTCCTCACTAGAAAGTAAGGTGATATCACTCTAGAAATTAATGGTTCATTTATGCAAAGGTCATATGACTGTGGCTCACTAAACTGACTTCACCACATAGTGGATGATCTCTGGAGTTCAGCATCACTGGGAAGATCTATGCTACTAATATTTCTGCATAAAATTGTCTTTTTTTTTTAAAAATGTTCCAAATAACAATGCATGTTTATCTCATTCTTTGAAGATACAAATATACTAATTGGTAAGTTACATTTATGATAAACAATAAAAACTTTCTTCTCTTGCAGACCTATTGGGAGTTTGAAAAATGATTCTGCCATGTTATGGTATTTACTGGTTATATATGTTGATGCATGTATTTGTTCATCAGGACTATCACTGTCATATATTGACACATGTGAATTTTCTTTGCACTGTATCTAAATATTTCTTTATTCCCGTTTTGCTTTAAAGAGTTTGGATTATATAAACAGTTTCCACAGTAAAGGAATTGAAAATAACCTGAATTTAGTATTGAAAATAGCTAGTGAACAACTTAGAAAGCTATATTTCAATTGTAAAACATGTTAAATATGTGCAAAACAGTTCAGAGGCATTGTGGACAGGCTGCCATCCAGGGGGTAACCAGATGATATAGTATGGCAGGCACTATTAGAGAGGACAAATGACAGAGGAAATTAACCTTTGATTTTACCTCAGATCATTGGTTTCCATCATTATTCACGGGGCCTTGATGCCTATTTTAGAAAACTGAAGTTTGATTTAATTGTGTTTAGAATTGCAATGGTTCTCATCTTCTTTTATACAACTTATTTTTAAACAAAAACAACTCACATAGAAAAGTTTAACTATTGTAAGCTGCCCAATATAAGCTTGTAACATAAACCTAAAATTTATTTCAAGTGGATAATTTAAATACAGTTGTCTTGGGATATTCATTTTGTGCTTTAAATCTTTATCCTCACATGTATTTTAAGAGAAAGTGCTTAGATGTTTCTGGAATGCTGCCAACTTGAAGGAATTGGGAAAGAAGTTAGTTTTAATTGAGATTATATGAGCATTTAAATTGAGTGCTAATGCGTGGATGGAAATCTGTATAAGCAATGATATGTAGGCACTCATTAGAATGTAGCTCTATCTTTGAAGAAGATATACTGAGCAAGCAAGAAGGTGAATGTGAAAACATCTGTTAAAATGATTTATAAAGTTGCTTTATCTTCTTTTTCCTTCGTACCTGAAAAAAATGAGAGGGAACCAGGCAGCCAACTGACTAAACCTGTTTTTATTGAAGATGCTAATTTTGGACGCCAGATATCCTATCAACATGCAGTTGTCCATATTCCCACGGACATCTATGAGGGCTGTTAGTAAAAAACTTGCAGAATTATTGGGATGCTGAGCATGCCTTCATGTCTTATTTAGAGAAAGAAAACTGTCTCTGTTACAAAGTATATAAGAATCTATGGGAAGGCTTTAGTTAGAGCTCTGTAGTAGATTGCTTAACTACTATATAACGCCTTCCTGGGTTCAGTCTCTAGAAGCAAATATTGCATAACTAAACAGTCACATCACACTCGCTTATGCACACACACACATAACAACAACAAAATAGTATAGGTAGACTCCATTATGCAATGTGACAAATGTGATTTTTATGTATAGTTTCTACCACATAGCTTCTAGAACCCCTTATTGGAAAGTAGGGGTTGTTCTGATCTACTCTTGTGTAAATCATTCTGATATCCTAGTTAGTATGAGATATCTTTCAAAAGATATTTCTCTCTCTCCCCTCTCTCTATATATATATATATATATATATATATATATATATATATATATACACACACACATTTGTTCTTTAGAACAGAATAGCACAGATACACATTGTGCATGTGTAAGCCACACCGTTGGTAAAGGGAGAGAAAGCGTGTGTTTCAGACTGCAGTTTTAGACTACTGCCTCTACCACTTCTTGCAATGTCTGTCAGTGTGGCTTTCTCTTTACCACTGAACAGACTAAAAACCTCTTAATTTTCCAAGAGAATGTTGGATCAAGATACAAATTAATTTTCTCTTGGAACGGAAATTGACCTAAGACTCTCAGCTAAGATGAATTCACTTTAAGAAAGGGAGGAGGGTGTGCAATTAGGAAGAAACAGGGAGAAGCTTTTGCTGTCTCCTGGGGATTTTCTTGCATTAATAAAGGTGAACTCAGGGTCCTGTTGGGGCTTTTCTGGATTTGTAATCCAGGCATTTGGTCTTGACTCTGTCGTTCCCATGGGCTCCCATCCATTTCCCCCTAGCCTTTTCCCTGAATCCCTTCTGTATGTCAAGACCCACCGGACATAAATAAAAAACAAAAAAAAAACTCACTGTGCATTAAAAAAATATTTCATATTCTCAGCAATGGACAAACTATAGAATTTATCAAGTATCCAGAGCATACCTGAAATTGTTTGATTCCAGGAGCTAGATTGCATGAGCTTGGATGTAAACTTAAGCAAATTGTTTCTCAACCAATCACCTTTTTAGCAAACATTTTCCTAGATGCAAAATGAAGTAAGATTACAGACCTAAAAACCATGTGAGGATGAAGTATCAATATAATTTCAGTTCTCTGAATAATAGCAAACCCAAGGTAGGCTTATAGTAGAATTCACTATTATTAGCCTCATTTATTTAGATGAATGCAAGTGTTAAGAATTTTGTAAAGCATATTTTATTGGTAGATGTTTTCTGAGGCTATTTATTAAAGTAATGTGAAATGCATGCATGCATCTTTGTATCACATGAATTTCACCTCTTGTTAACGTGTATTATTCCTTCATTAATCCTGTCCATTTTTGTTTCCTGTGCTGCTGGGGGTGGGCACCCATGGTCTCATCGTATTCACTTGGCAAGTGTAGTGCTACCCACTCACATCTCAGTCTTTACTCTTTTCATTAATTTGAAAAACACTTGCTAACTTTCAGAGTATAGGTTCTTTTAGAGGTTTGATTGTCCTACTTTTAGTGAGAAAGTTGTGTGTGTACAAAGTTTGTTAATACATGACACTGAAAATAACATCTTTCTTGATTCACACTGTGAGATCCCAAGCCTTTTAAATGAATTATTTTTTATTTGTGAATCACAACATTAATTATTGTGATTACACTTTACAAGATCCTTTTAACTGATAAGATGGCTCAATAGTTAAGAGCACCGCGGCTCTTACAGAGGACCCAGGTTTGATTCCCAGCACCCAATGATGTCCTCTTCTTACCTCTGTGGACACTAGAGATGCACATGGTAAACATGCAATCAAACATTCCTGGACATACTTAAATATTAAAATTAGTTATGCTTATACAACCTGATTCATTGAATGTTAATATATTTTGTACAGTTCCTCAATTTTTAAAAACCTTAAGTTTATATTTTTCTGTTTTCCTGTCATTAGTTGATGTGATTTGTGTCTATCTTTGCATTTACAATGAAGAAAAAATAACAGGAAAATATGTAAAATTATGACTCAAACTGTTTTGTTCTATGTTCCATTAGTTATCTTTTGGGTCTCATGATAACCTAGTCAAGGAGTTTTTTCACCAAACAGCCATATTGTGTGGCTTATTTTCTTTAGCATGTGTACTCTCATGAATTCTTGATATGAAACAAATGCACTCACATACCTAAATAAAGTTAGTGCAGCTCTGCCTGAATATCTGTTTGTTTCTCAGTAGGAGACATAACTGACATTTGCTATAAAAACAAAGTATTTTTATAAGTTCATAGATTAACATTTGATGATTTTAGAACCAACATTGTCTACAAGAAGTAAGACACTTTACAGGATGGGCTTCATGTTCTCATGCTATGTATTTACTTTGTTATTTTTAATTATGTATGTGATTTTTCCTGTGTATGTGCATGTATATGTCCACTTCTTTGGCCACAGAAGTTTTTTTTTTTTTAAGCTGGAGTAATAGATGCAACCTGAGTGGCAATGGACCAAACAAAGGTCCTCTGGAAAATTCTTTCTTGAACAAGTCTTTATTCATGCAAGTGTGTATTTGTGTGTTTGTGTGTATGTGTGTGTGTGTGTATATGTGTATGTGTGTGTGTGTGTGTGTCTCTCCCAGGAATCTTCTGTGTCTACCTGCTCTGCACTTAAATTACATTCACCCATCATAAAACTCAGTATCTTTATGTGAACTGTAGGAAACAAACCTCGGTCCTAACCCTAAAAGAGTCAGGGAAGTACCATAATGAATGAATCATTCTCCCAGCCCCTCCTGTTTTCTTCCTCTTGGGTAGTGTTGTTGTGTACCTCTGTGTATAGAGGCCAGAGGCTGATGGTGGTTGCCTCCTGCAGTCACTGTCTTTATTTTTTGAGAAGCTCTCTCACTAACCTGGAGCTCACTGATTCAATTAGGGTGGCTATTCAGTTGGCTTCACAGATCCACTACTGCCTAACCTGGACACCCACTGCCGGAGTTTCAGACTTATCTTCCTGCCTACCCGCTCTTTCATGTGTAATGGAGATCCAAATTGAGATCCCCGTGCTTTAACCCTATAGGTGATGCCTCTCCCCCTGTCCCCCATTTAATGATTCTTATGTACTTGTTACTTTTAGTGAAATAGCATTCATAGCTAAAGTCTTCATATATTATACCCAAGAACAGGTGTAAACACTTACAGAGAAAAACATACATTTTTTTGATATTAATTTTTTACATACCATACACTATTTTTTTAAATGTACAAGAATGTTGACTATATAAATACTTTTGTTCCCAATTTAGAATAAACTATTTGTAAGCATCTGTAAAAAGTTTTAAAGTCACAAAGAATAATATTATTAGCTTGAAAATCAAGGAGATGAATGCTTATGCTTTTTAAACATTACATGGTAGTATTACTTTGAAAACAAAAAGAGAAAAGTTCAAAATTTGGTTCATTTGTTCAGCCTGCCTTTTTTCTGGATATTGCATCATCGTTTGATGATATCTCATCAGTGCACTGCTAACCTCTTGTGGCCCATACACCTTTAAAATTCCCATCCAGCACTTTGCATTGCATGAGCAAATGACAGGACTCAAATTAGAAATGTCAGCAAGGTCTGGAGAGTCTGTAATTCCTAGTAGCCAACAGTTGGTTCCTCAGAATGAGCCAGGTACAAGGACTGCTGTAAGTTCCTGAGTTTAATGAATATGAAAGTATACTGTAATTGAAGGCTTAACGCAAGAACAGCCTCCCTTTGCTCAAAGGCATTTGTGTGGCTGCATCTCAGAACCAATTCATGTTCAAATTTCCCAAGGAAATTACTTTTTAAAGTCCCTTGAATTGAAATGTTATTATTTTCAGTCAATTATATATTTAAATTTTCAAAATTATAGCTTCAATTAGAGCACCATCTCAATTTTTCATGTCTGGGTTCCTTATTGATTGCTACATTTTGATTTATACCCAAACCACTTAATTTTCAGATCTCATTTAGACTATAAACAAAAACAAGCTCTGGATATTGTGAACTAATTATTTTCTCAGTTCTTTGTTTCTAAATGTGTGCATTGACATGGGTCAAGCTCATACTAGGCAGGCACTCTGCATTGAGCTGCATCCCAATGCCCCAGATTTGTTTGAGCACAGAATTTTACTAATATTTTAATCATTTCAGGACTATCTTCTTAGACTATTCTATAGATTTACAGTCATTTAATAGCATGTACTGTTTTTGTTTATTTAGACAAAGTTTGTAGAGAATGTATATAGTGTGTTGACTGCATGCCTATGAGTATACCATGTACCTGCCCAGTGCTTTTGAGGCCAGAAGAAGGAAAACAGCCTCTGAAACTGAATTTAAATAGTTATGAGCCATCACTTGGGTGCTGGAAACTGAACCTTGGTCCTCTGAAAAAGCTGCAAATGCTATTAACAATTGTGCCCTCTTTCCAATCCCATACAACTTTCTTCTAAAGAAAAAAGTTGGGTATGGCACATTTTAGAGTGAGGCAGGTCGATACCAGTGAGGTAGAGGTCAACTTGTGGTCCATATAATGAGTTCCAGACCGTACAGGGCTACACAGTAAAACCAGAACCATCCCCACCCCCCCCACCAAAAGCAACAGTTAAATGAACAAGAAAAATATACCTTATCTGTCTTTGGTTCAAGAACACCAGAAAAGGAGGGGCTGAGATTGGAATGTGGAACAGGAGTCTGCAAAGCAGACAAAAGGCTTCACTGTCCCATACAAGGAGCTGAAAGGTGTTGTGGGAAGAGTGTGTTTTAGGATCCAGCACACCAGGTTTTTTCTTCCTACAAAAGTCAGAGATCCCAACTCATTCAACATGAAGAGAATCTGGAGACTGCTTCTAGGAAATGCTA